GGTGCTCTATCAAAAGGGCTTTAGTGAGGTGGAAATCGATGCTTTCGTTCTCGCCTCCTGTTTTGTCTATTGGGGTTGTCAATTAGTTCAGCAATTCCCGCGACCGGAGACGAAATCTGCTCATAAATTGCTCTATTCAACCGTCCCCTGTCGGACTGTGAAAAGACTCCTGCCTTGTTGTTTACTACAGTAAAACAACATCTGCCGTGGCTGTTGGGCACTCGGGTGTAGTCTGCTCCTACATCTTTTCGGTTTTACTATCAATAGACATATATATGTACAATCGAATCTGCTCTAACGGCCACATTTATAATACAATCACCTTTTCAAACGACCACTTCTAATTTCCTCTCTTGCATTTTTTAAACATTATGATGACACTGTGTAAGAGGTCCACCCATCTGTGTCAAACACTTTTCTCTTCAACAATGGGTATTCATTTCAGACAATGTCGACTATATTTTTTGTTTCTGAAGAAATATGGCCAAAACCGTGCCGACTCATGTACACTACAACATAGCTTTCCCGTTTGCTATTGCCTCAATGAGTTCATAGAGAAATATGGCCGCAATCAGAAAGACTCCTGTTCTTTACAAATCAAGTCAACTTAAGTCAATGCAAAGATAATCTATTTTGGTTTTAGTAAGCGTTTTACGGCACTTGCAACACAATTAGGTCGTATAAGTGCAGAAAATTAGAGGTGTTACAAGGAAGTAACAAACGCGCACGCGCAAAAGGAGTAGAGAAGAGCACGATTGTTGTTTGATAGGAATTTAAAGAAGAGGCAAACCAAACAAGAGCATCCGCCAACTACCCACAAGATAAGCTGAACGAGCCACTCAAAAGTTTTGTCCTCCAGATTAAAAGTTAGATGTTAGATGTACCGCGAACTTAAGAGGCTGAACATCTAAACAAGAAACAAGAGTTGCTCGCAGGATGAAAACCCTGTTTCGACATGTTTACAATAACGACAAACTTGTTCTTACAATGAAGACACTGGCAAGACACATATACGTGTGTCTTTCTCTCTCTCTCTCTCTCTCTCTCTCTCTCTCTCTCTCTCTCTCTCTCTCTCTCT